CCAAAGGCCCTGCCTCTGGATACTGTCACATTAAGGGTTAGGGCATCAACATATGAATTTTGGAGTAGACACAAACATCAGTCCATAACAATGCACTTCTTCCAGATGGGTCTTCCCTGAATGGGCTCTGTCTAGGGGTGAGGGCCAATGTTGCCCAGATGACAGCTGGAGGAGGCCGGCCAGCCTAGGGGAAGACCCCTGGGGAAGGAGGGGCCCATCCTCAGAAGACTGTGGACACAGGATGTACCTCACTATCCTCAGTTTCCTTGTCTGTAGAAATGGGGGTGGTGGTACCTTCCCCACTCAGAGTCATCATCAACTGTGGGAGGCCCAACGACGATAGGGCATCTCTCAACACAAGGCCTGTACCTACAGAGGACTTGGCTTATAGTACCAATAGCCCCCTGTGGGGCCCATTTAATCCTCTAAAAAATGCCACCAGGCAGGTATTTGCATCCCTTCTTATGTTTAAGGAAACTGAGGCTCAGAAAACTGAAGTGGCTGAGCCAGCATTATCCCTGCAGAGAGAAGAGGATGGGCCACAGGCAGTGAAGGTGCACAGCAGCGGCTCCAGACACCTCACTCCCTGGCGGGGTGATGTTAGTTTTTCAAGGAGGCAATGCTGTCCCTTCGAGCAGGTGTTCCCCACCTGGGTGTTCCCCACTCCCAAGGGGAGTGCCTTCCCTCCTGCCACCACTACGGTGCCCCAGAGTGCACACAAAGACATGCACACGAGGGGACACACATTGTGATATCCACAGGAACACAAACACACACACAGACATATATGGGGGACACATACACATGGACACATAGGTTGGGACACACAGGGGCATGGAAACATACAGAAAGACATACAGAAACACAGGAACATGACCCACACATGTGGTCACAGACACAGGGATACACACAGGGGACACACAGAGACATATACATGGGACACACAAAGAGATTAGTTGGACACACACCAACAGGGACGCACGCACACACACACACACACACACACACACACACACACACAAACATGCCTGCCTACTTGGGGATGCACACAAAGAGACACAGAGACACATGGATTCTCTTTCACACACATTCCTATGGGCCCAGCAAGCTGGCTCTTCTGAGTCACTGTCCCTCAGACCTCAAGAAGCATCATGCTACCCTGTCCTGGGGTCCAGCGGGTTCTAGCTCTCTCCCTACGGCTCTACCTAGGCGTGTTTGCTCTGCATGAGATGCTGAGTCAAAGGGACAGTCCTTACCAGCCACTTGACGTCATACCATCTTTAGACCACAGCCCACAGTGCTATGGAACTGTGACCCAGGTGCAGCCCAGGCTGTGGCCCTGCCTGTGGCCCCTGGAGGACCTGACAGGTGGGCCAGACTGGAAGTCGTACTGGTTCTGAGGCCCTGGGGTTAGGGCTCGTGATCATTTTTGAGAGGGCTGTCTCCTGGGCAGGCACAGGTCTCCTGGCTCTACACTGGTCCCATGTGGGCTGTCAGGGTGTCCCTGCAGAAGCCAGGGTTCTGAGAAGAGACCCAAGTGATGGCCATAGGGTCCAGCAGCCTCTCAGATGCCTCGATCAAAGGGCCGAGCATCCCTTCACAAGCTCTCTGTTGGACCTGCAGCTTGTCCATCCCTCCTTTCATTTCTGTCCTCCTCCATGATCATCTACCCTTGGCCTCTCTCTTTCCTGAAATTGCGTGGGTGCAGATGGGGATTTGTTGCTGTTTCTTCATGGGCTTGTTTCAGCAGCAGGATCCTTCCTCAGCGTATGGCTTAGAGCTGGGCTCTGAGCAGGGCTGATCCCAGGCCCAGGCTGGCTGACCTCCATAGTCAAGATGTGGCATCTACCCAGGGGTCAGGGCCCTAGACTGTCCATCAGGATGGGACCACCAGCCTTAAGAGTCTGTGCCTCAGGTCCACCCCTGGGCCTGGGGAAATATGGATAGAGACAGAGTGATGTCCAGCCCCCATCTCCCTCACACTCCATCAGTCTGCTGCCCTCCTGTTCCCTTGGCTCTGGTCTCTGTGCCAGGGTCCAGACTCCCTTTGTGGATCTGCCAGCATGGTAATTGGGGGCCTGTTTTCTTGGGGCTGGGAACCCCCTCCTGCCCATTGGCTGGGTATTTTCTGTTTGGGCATGCTGCAAGACCCAGGGTGGACTGGGGTTCAGAAGCAAGGCCCTGTGCCTCCTCGGGAGGGAGGCCAACTGTGACATGACAGGGAAAACTCACAGTGAATGAGCCTTACTCTGAAGAGCCACTGCTGTTCACCACCCACGCTGCCAGGGTCTGGCAGGTGACACGCATGATTCACATGCTCTGCATGGCCCTTGGAGACAGAGTGTGGCCCAGAGCAGGGTTTGGACTGGGATGCTTCGGGGGAAGTATCAGGGTGCCCTCAGCTTTGGGATTTCTCATAAAAAGATGAGGGTTTGCACAGGCAAGCGTTCATGGGGAGGGGCCTGGCGACTGTCACAGTATCAGAACAGGGTCAGCCCATCACAGCCTCCCAAGGCTGCAGTCTGAGCCCTCGGGGCACCTGTGTGCTCCCCACAGTCAGCCAGCCATATGTCCTCTCAACACAGCAAGGCAGGTGTGTGGGCTGCCACAAGCACCAGGGTGACACTCAATGATCCTGTGGAGGATGAATGTGACACTGCAGCTGAATGTGTGAGCAACAGGACCTCGCAGGGAGAAAAGGTGGGCCAGCTGGTGTGTGGAGGGTGGTCACTGCCTGGATTCTGGGCATTTCTGACCTGTTGGCAGAGGGGAGGAGTCTACTTCTGAGCTGGACATAGGGGGCCCTCTGCTGGTGGTGGCCAGAAGCTCAGCCCCTTTGTATGGAGAAAGGATCCATGTTTCATCACAGAAGGTCCCTTGGTCCCTGCCCCCTGGGCTGGAAGACCCTCTGTCCTGTCCCTGCTGAGGGGGCATGTGTCCACTCATTCCTCTGGGACTTCAGGGTCCCAGGACCCGTCTCAGACCTGCTCCCCAGTGAGGACCCAGCAGTCAGGTTTACCCCAGGGTCTCCAGCTCTGTGTGGACATTTCTCCAGGTGCACACTTTTTTGCTTCCTGTGGGTGTCAATGCCAGGTGGGCTGTCTGCCCATGGCTGGCAGGCACAGGGTGAGTGACAATGAGTCATGGCCTTGGCACACAGGCAGCCTTCCAGCCCTTCCACTCATGCTCTCCCATTTAAATCATTTGCTCTCTGTAGCCAGGACCCAGCTGGCCATTGTGAGCCAAGCTGAATGCGACAATGACGTGTGGCCTTTGCACCTGGGAGTGTTGGGGCCCAGCCCAAGCTATACTTGCTTCTGGGCAGCCCTGCTGGCTCCAGCTCTCGCAGAGAGTATGGGAAAGTTCAGGGAGGCAGATACTCCCCGAGACAACTCTGAGGCTGCAGGTCGCAGCGGAGCCAGGCGTGTGGGCCTGCCAAGTTCACGGGGCGTTGGAGATGCCTCTTGCTGGGGCGATGCTATGGGTCTTTGCCCACTCTTATATATGTACCTGATCCTCCAGACCCTTCCCTGGCCATCACAGTGAGAAGTGGAGAGTCACCCTCTCTGGGGGGCCTTCCCTGGAGCCAGACTGGCTGGGTTGCCTCTAAGCACCTGGTCTCTCTCCCCTGGGCTTGTGAGTTCCCAAGGACAGACTGCTCAGCGTTGCTGCTTGCTCGCTCACTGTGCTGCCTGGGACAGGTGGTAAACCTATCTGAGGCTCCCATTTCTCACCTGTGAAATGTGCCTAAGGACCTGCCCACAGGGTGTTCTGGGGATCCCATCCAATGAGCAGGCCATGTACTTGCTTGCACAGCATACTTGGAATGTGCTCGGGGAAAGGAAAGGCTCACCACGTCAGCCTCTCGTCCTGTCTTGGTGTCCTTGGCATGGCACAGCATTGACCCACATGAGGTTCTGGGCACTGTTTTTCAGATGAATTACTGACTTACCTTGGTGTGCCATTCACGGCATTCAGCCACCCCTGGAGCTGTGTGACCCAGTGGGAATGTTCTGGTCTTTCAGATGAAGTACCCGGGTGCAGAGGCGTGTAGCTTGCTGGTGGGCTAGTGCCTCGCATCCCCCTTCTAGGTCTAGGTCCAGTGGACCCTGCGAAGGTCACCTCAGACTCAGGCTGTCGGAATCCAGGCATCCTATGTGGGCTTCTGCCTGTCAGTGGGCACTGACCTTAGAAAGATTAGAGCATGGAGTCCCATCTGTAGGCACACTACTCAGCTTCCTATTGCCCTCGAATTAAGTCCAGGGGCACCTGGGTGGCTCCGTTGGTTAAGCGTCTGACTTCAGCTCAGGTCATGATCTCATAGTTTGTGGGTTCGAGCCCTGCATCGGGCTCCACACTGGTAGCACTGAGCCTCCTTGAGATTCTCGCTCTCTCCTCTCTGCTCCTCCCCCACTCACACCTTCTCTCTCTCTCAAAATAAATAAATAAACTTTAAAAAACAAAAACAGAAAACTAAGTCCAGCCTCTACCATGATTGTCGGGGCTGCCCCCTTAAAGTGTTCTGGGCCCACCTCCTCTCCACTCACCAGGCTGCCCCACCCATGCCTGGAGCACCAAGCTCTTCTAGCCACAGGCCTGGGTTATAATGGTCCCTCTACAAGAATGTCCTTCACATGGCTGGCCTATTGCCCATTCTGGGTCTCCAGTTGCTGTCTCGGAGAGGCGTGGACCGCTCTGCCCACAGGGGTTTTTCCTGCCATCATTTTCTCTGCAGGCCATCAACGTAGCTATAGTGTTCCCCCTCCCCAGCCTCCAAGGCAATGGCTGGTACTCTATCCACTCACCCTCCTCAACAGGCCAAGCACTCAAGAAACTTTACTGAACAAAGAGGAAAGTGTAGTGTAGTGTAGTGTTCGCTGAGACAGAGGGAGCACTGGAGAGTGGGCCTGAAAGTAGGAGGCTGAGGGTGTGAGGGCCTGCCCCCCTGTTGGCCCACTGCCCTAACTCGAGCCCGCACCATCCCCCTGCCCCCCCTATAGCACCGGCAGCTGCTAAAGGACAGCTTCATGGTGGAGCTGGTGGAGGGGGCCCGCAAGCTGCGCCACGTCTTCCTGTTCACCGACCTGCTCCTCTGCACCAAGCTGAAGAAGCAGAGTGGAGGGTGAGTGACTACATGGCGCCCATCCTGCCGGGTGGGAAGGGTCTTGGGGTCAGGAGGACAGGGTGGGTTTCACAGATGGACGAAACCTGGCTTTTGTTTTTCTCTTGTGACATGAGCCTAAAGAGTTCTGTAACTATGTGGTCAGGATATACTCTTTAAGTTACATTGTTTCCAACTGGCCATGATGCCAGGCTCAGGGTTAAAGATCATCATTAACAACCTGGAGACAGTCTAGTTCAGGATCAGTGACCAGCCTATTGCCTCCTATAGATAAAAGGGGGATCGGGGTGCCTGGGTGGCTCAGTTGGTTAAGCGTCCAACTTTGGCTCAGGTCATGATCTCAAGGTTTATGAGTTCCAGCACCACGTCGGGCTCTGTGCTGACAGCTCAGAGCCTGGAGCCTGCTTCAGATTCTGTGTCTCCGTCTCTGCCTCTCCCCCACTTGTGCTCTATCTCTAGCTCTCTCTCAAAAATAAGTAAACATTAAAAGAAAAAAAGGGGGACCTACCTGACAAGGTACTGTTGGGCAACTGTCATGTCATGACCCAGGAAGAGTAAGTGGCAGGACAGGGAGCTGCAGGGTCTAGTACAGGCTGGCAGAGTGGGGCCGGTATCACTAGACCATCACTGTATTTTGTCTCCCCATACCTGTGAGAGCTTCTAAATTGTTCTCAGCCTAGGCTGCAGGTGCTCCCCCACCACACACACACACCTCTTCCTGGGACTCAGATCACGCAGGTTGCACCAGCTGGAATGGAGGAAAGAAGGTTATGTTGGGAAAGACCAGAGCTAGTCTCTTTCCCCCGTTCTGAGCAGATTTAAATCAGTCACCTCAGAAGAGAGCCTCAGTTTCCCCTTCTGTCAAGGCAGAGGATTACCCCTGGTAGATCTGTAGCCCCTCAAACTCTACAGCTCTGTGGGTGTCTGCAGTCCTGTCCTGCCAGTGGATTGCCCGATATGCTCCCACGTCAGGGAGCCAGGGAGCTGCCACCATCAGCCCAGGATAAGGTGGACCTGGCCTAAGTCACATGTGCAGAGTGCCCATTCCCAGGGTCACCAGTGTCTGCCGATGGCCTTATGCCAGCCTGCTACATGGACCACAAGCTAGGTTTTAAGTTCAGGTAAACTGCGCAAGCCCCAAACTTGGGGTTTCCCGGCTCTTGAAAACAATGACGTTAGCGAAGGAAAGCAGAGTGTTAACGTGTGGTTTCCTCACTCAGCAAAACCCAGCAGTATGACTGCAAATGGTACATCCCGCTCACGGATCTCAGCTTCCAGACAGTGGATGAGTCGGAGGCGGCTCCCAACATCCCCCTGGTGCTGGACGAGGAGTTGGATGCCATGAAGATCAAGATATCCCAGATCAAGAATGATATCCAGAGAGAGAAGGTGAGACCAGCTGGAAAGGAGCAAGGCTGGGCTCTGCAGCTTGAGTGGCAGCAGCCCCTTGCACACAAGTATCTGACCCACACCTGGAGCCTGGGGCCTGCTGGGACCCCTGTGAGCCCGCCGTCAAGCTTGGAGCCATCCTGCATGGGGGGTAGGAGGGGTGTTCAGCTGCCCTAATGGGGACAGCATTCTAGGTGGGGGAACAGCCCCTTCAGCCCACCCTAGACCGTCCCCCAATTGTTTCTGGAGAGGTTTACAAGACTTGAGGAGCAGTGAAGATGGGGCATTCAAGTGTAGGATTAGGCCCGGCCAGAGCAGGTACTATGTGGTGGCCACAGACAAAGTGGGTCCCCAGAAGGTTGGGCTTCAGCTCAGGGATGCCTGGCTGAGGTGGGCTCAGCAGGACAGGGGCCTCCTCAACCCTCACCCACCTGCTGGCCTACTACACCACAAACCGAGCAGGTTGAGGGAGGCACCGGGGGCAGTGGGACTGGGCCAGGCAGGAACGGGTAACAAGGGGCCCCCAGAATGGAAATGTGATCATGTGGCTCTCCCCACAGAGAGCAAACAAGGGCAGCAAGGCCATCGAGAGGCTGAAGAAGAAGCTTTCAGAGCAAGAGTCACTGCTCCTGCTTATGTCCCCCAGCATGGCCTTCAGGGTGCACAACCGCAATGGCAAGGTGAGTGCCCCTGGCTCCCGTCTATCTAGAATCTCACTGTGCTGTGGCCGAGACTCACCACCCAGCTGTGTGGCAGCTGTGGTCTCTGGCTCCTGTGTGGCCTCTACAACAGCAGCCCTCTTCTTCTGGAGAATGTTCCCATGCCAAGAGACACTTGTTCAGTATAGCGCACCCAGGCCCATGTGTCCCTCTGACTGGTGCTTTAGGCCGGAGCCCCCCAGATTGACTGACAGCTGGCTCAACCCCCACAGCTGGGAGGTAACAGCGTCTCCAAGAAGTTCAAATAGGGCAGGGGGTTCACAGATCTGTGCAGACCGGGCTCTTCGTACAGGGATTCTGTCCAGGGACCTTGTGAACCTGCGAGGTACCTTCTCTCCTGAGTCTGGCTCCTGGTGCCATCTGGAGCCCGGGCCTCTCCCTCTGGGGCTGTGGGCATCACACATAGCTGTCAGCGTGCAGCTAGCAGAGGCAGCTGGTGGGCTCTGCAGGAGCCTTGTCTCTGGGTCGCAGCTCAGGGCTTGTGTGTTAGACACAGGTGGTCAGTCAAAGTGGCATTGGCCTCTGCAGATCCCACCTGCTAACCTTCTCTGTGGCCCCTAAGCTACAACATGTCATGCCCTGGCCCAGGCAGTCCAGGCAGGGGGGCTGGTGCCAGAGGCAGAGCTGCCCAGGGCACAGGAGCTATGGCCTGAAGCCCAGCTGGCAGGAAGGGTGGAGAGTGCCAGAAGCATGAGCCAAGCCGTGAGCACACTCAGCCACCAGGCTCCAGCCAGTCTCTGGCCCCAAGGTGTGCCTTGGAGGGGTGCACTGCAGGACTCTATGTGGGTGCCTGAGCTGCAGTGGAGGTAACCAGGGTGTATTCTCCTTCTCACCCCCTAGAGTTACACATTCCTCATCTCATCTGACTATGAGCGTGCTGAGTGGAGAGAGAACATCCGGGAGCAGCAGAAGAAGTGTAAGTGGCATCCGCATGTAGAGGCTTAGAACCTCAGGCCTGGATGCTCATCTCCTCCTGTGGTTTCAAGCCTTTTCTTTCTTCCTAAGGAGCTGGGCAGTGGCACTCTTATCCAAGTGAGAAGCTACAGGGAGCTCTGATTCAGAAAATAAATTGGTCAGGAGCTCCTGCCAGGGCCCTACCCCCTGTACCCCCTTTCCAAGGCCTCCCCCACATCCCCTGTGCATCACCCCCTCCCACTTTCTGACCTCCCCTATGAACCCTTCTTTCCCACCACCCCCCCACCCATGCCTTCCCCCAATGCCCTGCCTGCCTCCTGAACCTGCCTGCTCCCTGTGGCTCTCCCTGCACTCTTGCCTGTCCCCTCAGCAGGTGCCATTGCCAAAGGAGCTCTTGGCTGGACCAGCCTGCACAGCCACACTGTGCTGGCCCCTCTCCGCTATCTGAGGGGCCAGCACTTGACCACTCTTAGGATAGGGTGCTTGCTCCTGTCTGGGGCAGTCCATTCCCTGGGCGCTTCCCTCTCTTAGCTGTTCTTTCCTGCTTCTCCCAAGCTCAGAGCTGCCCCTGGTTCTGACTGGCCGTCTTCAGGGGTGGGAAGAGAGACTCTGCCACAGGTCCTGTTTCCTTCCTCTGCCCCCCAGCTGTATAGTTTGGGATTCCTGAGCTGTCTTGTTAAGAGGTTCCCATGTGCACTCTGTGTGCCCACTGTTCTGAGAGTGTCTGCAGAGAGAGCCAGGCTGAGCACCATGTCCCAGGTGGACTGGGAGCCCCACATGCCTCTGCCCTGTCCTGAGCTCCCTACCCCCCAAGCTTATCATCCGTGCATGTGCTGAGCCAGTTCCCCCCACCGCCACCCCCCACAGTGCCCCTGTGTCCTGGAAGACGAGGCACTCCTGGCAGCTCTGATGGCCGGTGCCTGCTGCCCTGCCCATCCATGCTCATGTCCCGGGTTTCCTTTTGTAACCAGGGGACCCCAACCATTTGCAGCATGTCAGCATCTATTCTCTGCTCAGCACTGTAACAGAAATAAACCCCTTTTCCTCACCGGGTGGGGATGGGGAGCCCTCATTAGCAGAGTGCAGGGCAGGGCTGTACTGGGTGTCTGTGGGGGGATACCCCACAGGAAGGTTCTGCAGGTCACCTCTCACAGTTGCCTGGCCAGCTCATGGGTTTGCAAGCATTATGCTAATCCCGTCCCCACCAGCCAAACCCAGCCTGGGCCAAAGCCACACCTTGCTTGGCCACTTACCAGCTCCTCTCGTGGGAGCAGATCACCCCCTCCTGGCCATCACAGCTCCTCACCAGGGTGTGGTACAGGTCCAGTGCAGGGACATTGGAGAAGGCCCTCTGGGTGTCCCTGGAGTCTGAGGAGCCATGCAGACTGGCTGGCTGATGTACCTGGGTTCCACTTTCTTCAGGTTTCAAAAGTTTCTCCCTAACATCCGTGGAGCTGCAGATGTTGACCAATTCGTGTGTCAAACTTCAGACCGTCCACAGCATTCCACTGACCATCAACAAAGAAGGTGGGCTGTCCTCACAAGGGCTGCTGTCCCTTTCTGCTGCCAGCACTGTCTGTGAGACCATGGGTTTTCATCCTGACAGAATGTGTGTGCTGCATAGGGCCTGTTGGCCCCTCCCAGGGGTAGATGGGATGGGTCAGGGGTGGTCTGTCCCCATGACTTTGTGCCTGGTCACATGACACATCTCGGATCCTCTGTGCTTTGGGTTTGGTCCTGCACCCCTGTCCTCCCAGCCAGGCGCTTCCCACCCACACCTTTGGTCATGCTGTGTTTTGCATTCACTTGCACACACACTTATGTACACTCATTCCCGCTCATAGGTATGTGCTTGTGCACATGCACACATGTCACATGCCACTCCTCACATGACAACATGCATGTCACATGACACACCCTACCCTTCCCCTCTCCTGTCCTGAGAACCTTACTGTGTTTCAACCCAGTCCCTGGTCTGCCTGTGTTGTAAACCCAACTCAGATCCTAAGACCCCTGAGACAGAGGCTACAATGGTTGTGTTTCTGGCTCATGACATCACCTGGCCCCATGCTGAGCAAATGGCAAACCCTCCCATTGAGGGTTGATTTTGAAGCACAGCCTGTCATTTGCCTCCCTCAGGAGAACGATGCTCACCTCTTTGGTCTCTTGCGCAGATGATGAATCTCCGGGGCTCTATGGATTTCTCAATGTCATCGTCCACTCCGCCAGCGGCTTTAAGCAGAGTTCAAGTAAGTGGTTACTTTGAGGAAGAAGGTGACAGGGCACCAAGCTGGAGGCTGTGGACCCTGGAACCAGGGTCGTGGCTCAGAATATCATCAGGTGCCTTTGGCCCTTAACCGGATGAGGTCCTGTGCTGGTTGATACCCAGAGCGGACCGTTGCCTTCTTTGGTCTGTGGACGGGATGTGTGAGCTGGTGAGTTGCCCCCTGCAGGTGGGTCTTGTAATTGCAGGCACTGGCGTTTTCTGTAGCCAGGAAATACAGCCTGAGTTCCAGGCAAGGAGGGCTGCAGGGAGCACTTTGACCCAGCCAGTAGAGTAGATTTGGCTGCTGACAGCTGACTGGTTACCCTTTTCATCCTTCCCCTCCCAGGCAGGGAACGCCTCTCAGCTACTCAAGCTGTCAGATCAGTGAGGGCTGGTTGCATTTCAGTCCAGGGTGGCACATACTGTGTCTCTCAGAATGGCACTCCAAACAAGTCCTCATCGTCCCTCTTAGGAGGACAGAGGACAGGCACTGTGCTATTGACCTGTCCCACTGATGCTGCAAAACTAAACAAGAAATCCCTGACAAGCCACAGCATAGAAGACAATATTTACAAACCATATATACATGATATGGGACTTGTATTCAGAGCATATTAGAGAACTCTTAGACCTCAGTGCTAAGGAGACAAGCCAGTTTTTTAAAATGAGCAAAAGATAGGGGTGCCTGAGTGGCTCAGTTGATTAAGTGTCCGACATCGGCTCAGGTCATGATCTCACAGTTCGTGAGTTCGAGCCCCGCCAGGCTCTGGGCTGACAGCTCAGAGCCTAGAGCCCGCTTCAGATTCTGTGTCTGTCTCTGTCTGCCCCTCCACTGCTTGCACTCTGTCTCTCGCATTGTCTCAAAAATAAATAAACATTAAAAAAAATTAAACATAAAATAAAATGAGCAAAAGATTTGAATAGACACTTCACCAAAGAAATACAAGTAGCTAAGAAGCGCGTGGGAAGATGCTCACGGTCATAGGGAAATGTAAACTAAAACCACAGTGAGGGGGCACCTGGGTGGCTCAGTTGGTTCAGCGTTCAGCTTAGGCTCCGGTCATGATCTCACAGTTTGTGAGTTCCAGCCCCACATCAGTCTCACTGCTGTCAGCACAGAGCCCACTTCAGATCCTCTGTCTCCACCCCTATCCCACTTGCACCTTCTAAAAAATCAACATTAAAAAATAAATAAATAAAACCACATTGAGGTTCCACTTCATGCCCACCAGGATGGTGATGACCAGAAAGGTACACAGTGACGACTGTTGGTGGGGATATGGAGAAATGGGAACCCTCAGACACTCCGCTGGTGAGGATGTGAAATGGTTTGGCCACCCTGGAAGACAGTTTCACACTTTCTTAAAAAGTTAAACACACCCGTACCACGTGACCCAGCAGCCCTGCTTTTAAGTATTTATTCCAGAGAGATAAGAACACGTCTGTATAAAGACTTGGATGTGCCTGATAAACATAACACGTTCATCCATGCAACAGAGCGCCATTCTGCAATAAAAAGGAATGGAGTACTGATACAGGCAACGATAGGGATGAACCTCAAAAGAATTATTCCCAAAAAAAGACACCAGGTGCAAAAGATTACATGTTGTATCATTCCACATGTATGAAATTTCTAAGGCAAAATTTGGAGACAAAGCCTAGCAGCGGTTTCCTGGAACTGGGGATGTGAGGAGGTTTGCCTGTAGTTGATCCAAAGGGCCTTTTGCGGTGGGGGGGGGGGCGCGGCAGTGTTCTGCAACAATGGCAATGCTGATTTACTAAAAATCCTCAAACTTACAGCAGATGGATTGTACAGTGTGCAGATTTTACCTCCATTAGGTTGTCACATAGGTGTAATTGTCCCCTGGGAGCACCTGCTCCACACCCCTCTCACACAAATGCTGGTGTTTTCAAGGGTTCCATCTAGGCCTTCCTCCCTCACTGCATACACTCCCTCTTCCTAGGCCCAGGGACCCTTCCATCAACAGCGCAGTTGATGTCTGGAACTGCCTCTCCATCCCCACTCTTCTCTCCTGGCCTCCCTCTATTACTTTCTGTCTGAGTCCCCAGTGTCCCACACTCTACGCTCCACATCCCCAAACTGAACCTATCACTTGGGCTCCCAAACTTGTTTCTCTTATTTTATGCCCTGCCCCAGTGAGAGATGCCACCCTCTCTGCCCTGTGGCTAGGCCAGAAACCACCATCTGGTTCCCTGGCCATATCAGTAAGATGACATTCTCTGTCCGTGGAGTTTCCTCATTACCTCTGGCCACCTGCCCCACCCTTCATCCAGGCCCTGGGAGTGGCCTCCTCCCTGGTCCCTACCTCCGCTCTCCCTGCACCCCACAATTCTCCCAGCAGTGAGCTGTTTTTGGTGCCCCATCCTGGCCTGCAGCACCCTTTGCCCCAGTTGACCTAGTAAACTCACAGCAGGGTCTGCGCAGGTGGTCGGCACTTCCCCTAGCCCCACCCTTCTCTGTGCATCATCCCCCTGATGGTGATGGTACGTTCATCTCTGCCCAGGTCATCACCCATAGGGTTCTCACGTAGAGGCTTTAGCCAGGATTTGTCAAATGACCAGGTGAGCACACGTTCTGACAGGTGCTGGTTCAGCTGTAACACGGGGCAGAATCTGCACGTGAGGTGCTGGGGCCCATGCTGGCCACTGGTGTTTTGCTTTATTTTTTCCAAATTTTTATTAAAATTCTAGTTAGTTAATGTGCAGTACAATATTGGTTATTGGTTTCAGTGTTGTTTTACTTTGAAGAGGAACTTATGACTTTTTTTTTTTTTCTGATTTTGAAAATGTCAAGGAGCAAGAACTCCTGTCCCCTTCAAGGCCAACTAACAGGAAAAAATTAAACTTAATAGCACACACGCTGGGAATCCACACAGACATGGAAGTTACAAAGACAGGCAAAATGAGGCATATATGTCATCCTGAACCTAGGAGAAGGGGGCAAAGGTCTGGGGCTTCAGAGGAAAGGAATGCACTTCACAGGACGACAGGAAGAGCAGATATTTAACAACTAGATGTTTGCCCTGCCTCACCAGTAGGTCACTCAAATAACCCTTATTCTGGGAAAGACCCCCCAATTTAGATTCTTCTGTGTAGTTACAGGAAGGGCAAAATTTCTCTTGAGCCCGGATGGTCTTGATTGCTCTCAGCTCAGAATGATCTTCTTGTCCCAGTGGCCCGCCCATCTTGGGGCAGCCTGCCCTTGGCCCCCTACAAAAACAGCCCCTGCTTCTGATAGAAAATTCGGGTAATATGGAAAAGTACGATCACCTTCCCTTTGTTGCCCTCCCACAGATCTGTACTGTACCCTGGAGGTTGATTCCTTCGGTTATTTTGTGAATAAAGCCAAGACTCGCGTTTACAGAGACACAGCTGAGCCCAACTGGAATGAGGTGAGGCACTACTTCCAGGCAAGTCTTGTATGTTGGCCCTGGCTGGCAGGCCAGGATCTTTTCCATGGGGAGAGTCTGAACACCGCCCCCACCCCACCCGCCCTGGGCTCCCTAATGTCTTTCCTCGCAGGCAGGCGCCTCCGCCTCCGCTGCCCACATTCCACCAGCATTCCAGGAATCTCCTGGGAGGAGGGGGGGGCGGCCAGTCCAAGAGATTTTATCTCTGTGTTCCTGAGAATCCAACCCCCTTCACTCCCCATCACAAAGAAACAGCCTATTTTTCTGGAGAAGGTTTTGGAAAAGAAACTTAAAAGGGTTTTTTGTGCTGCCTTTGTTATTGCTTAGTTTACTTGGTAGATTTCCGTACTGTTTTTCCTCGGAAGTTGGAATGAGCTCTGTAGCCCTCTTGGTTTCTGGAAGCCTGGGGCTCTGCCAGGGGAGGGCTGGGGTAGGGACCCTACTTGCCTGTCCCGAGTGTGGGATTTGTATAGTTTGCTGCTCTGTTCTCCTTCACCTTGGAGGGCTGTTGTGTAACTTGCTCACCATCTCACCTTGAGCCTTTGGGAGTGTGGGAATGATTATAGAGTAGTCAATATTGATGAAGTCCCCAGATCTGTGAGAATGCCATTTCCCAGTTTCTAGAGTAGCTGTGGCCTAGGAAAGCCTCATGCTTGAGGCTGTGGGTGGAAAGCAAACCACCTGCTCCCTTGGAGAAGAAGAAGCTAAGACCAAATGGCTGTCTGGTCCACTTTGGGTCATGTGGCTGGTAGAGCCATGGGGCCAGCACCCAGCTCTCCTTTCTTGGCATCCATGACTCTCCTCATCAGATTTGCTGCCTTAGTAGGACTGGGGCACAGGGAGCCCATAGGATTACCCAGTCATTATAGCTCTGGGCATCTGTGCAGAAAGGGTGATGGCTGCCGTGACAAGGGAGCATCACAGCCAGACGGATCCATCAAAGGCTTTGCAGAGAGTAAATGAGCATGACCTGACAGGGGCAATGAGGGAGGGGTTCTGGAGGCACCAGCAGTAGAGGCTCAAGGAACCGAGGCATGGAGGATTCCAGACCAGCATCACCTGGTGGCCACCCTGGGTGTGCATATGGATCATCAGGGCTGTTACACATTCCTGGCACACACACACCCTCCCCACCCCCATGCAGGCTCAGAAATATCTCCTTTCTTTTCCCCCACCCTCTTCCATTTCCCCACCATGAACCTGTGCCTGCAAAAACACTGGTGTGAAATGTAGAATTTACTGAAGACATCATGTGGTGATGGAGGAGAAAGTCAACACCACACATCCCACAGCAGACAACTCGAAAGCCTATAAGAACGGTTCTTTCCTCTCCTATATCACCTCCATGGGTCGATTTCCTTCCCCGCTTTCAAATAAACTTAATTTATAGAGCAGCTTTAGGTCCACAGCTTTAGGTCCAGAGCAGAAAGGACAGAGATTTCCCATATGCCCACTGTCCCCAAACATGCACAGCCTCCCCAACTAATCGATGAACCTACACTGACATCATTATCACCCAAAGTCCATAGAATATCTGCATTTATAACCAGCACCCATGAGCTTCTGATGCAGGGGGAATGGGGACTGCCTTTTGACATACTAGCTTAGGGAGTTTGGATTCAGTGTGAGAGGCATTCTGAGCTTCCAGAAGCATCCAGATTGAGCCACAATGGGATGCTCACAGGGAAGTAGCTTCTGAGGGTCTTTGTCACAGGACTAAAGTAAGCAGGGTCTCAAGTCATGGGTCCTTTTGGGGCAGCAAGGAAGTCATTGGACCTGTTAACAAGGGACTTTCCTTTCTTGGGGCTACAGGAGTTTGAGATTGAGCTGGAAGGCTCCCAGACCTTGAGGATTCTCTGCTATGAAAAGTGTTACAACAAAACAAAGATCACCAAGGAGGACGGCGAGAGCACAGACAGGATCATGGGGAAGGGCCAAGTCCAGGTGAGGCTGCCGCCCTCCTCTGCCCCCTGCAGAGTCCCTCT